TTTCTGGCAGCCACATCGATTCGGCTAATCCCGCGATAATTACTGCACACAGTTCGGTAACGTTTCTTGGGAAATGTCAGTTGTACTGAGGTACTCCACGAGGAGGGACAGATTTCGGTCTCCCGTAGTAAAGAGAAGAGCTCGCGTAAATTGTCAAGTAGAGCTGATTGGTAAGGTTTGTAGATTTCTACTGGAATCCCTTTCCCTCTAAGAAATTTCTTAGGCTTCAGGAGTATGATCAAAAAGAGTTCAAAGTGCTTATTTGCATTTTTGATGGCATCTTGTTCCGCCTCAAACCGCCAAAGTGATCTTCCACGAGCACCTCGGGATTACCGTAAGCAGAAGCACACCGTAACATGTGGGGTTCTTGCAGGTAATTTAGTCTGATCTCATGTTTCAGGCTCAGATCTTTGCACTTAGCGACATTGAACTGCCGCATGTTCTCGGTAGACCATGTGTATGTATTATCCACACTACTCTGCAGAGCCGTGTTATACTCCAAGGTTGTGATAACTGGCCATATCGTTAAATCACTAGCGAATAGTAGAAAATTTGAAGCAAGCATCCTTGAAAGGTCATCAGCGAAGACTGGTAACAAGCGGGTCCCGAACACCGAGCATTGTGATCCGCCGCAATGGATTTCGATTGGCTCAGATAAGATGCCGCGAACCCTCACCTCTAAACGAAGTTGAACGGTTAAGTTTCCTAAAAGCCTAAAGTAGAATCACCGATCCAATAATCCTGAAGCTTGTGTAGTCTAATGTGATATAGCAGTCGGTCAAAACCTTTACGAAATCCAGATAAGTGGTCTCTACCGCTATAGCAGCATAAGAAGACTCTGTCCAAAATGAACAAGCTATCATTAGCTTGGTAGTGCGTGACAGCTTTTGGCGAAATTCGTGTTGCTGTGGAAGGAACATTTAGTAACTCTTCAGATACCCACTGAGTTCATTGAAGGTAAGTTGGGAATAGTTGTACCAGCCACTACTTAGCTAATTCCCCACAGCTGCCACTCTTGTAGGTTAGAGTGACGATCCTGTGTTTACACATGGTGGAAACCCGCATCGTATTAATATATCGTTGAAAGAATATGGTAAAGGATTCAGCGAAATGCGTGGCAGCCACTTTCAAAGATTTTGGGCGAATACTATCTGCCCTGAGGGAGCTGTACTCGTGCAGGCAACTTGACGATTTAAGGCGGTGAAACTTCATATGTGACATTCTAGGTAAAGTAGCTAAGCCCGTAAACCAGATGCTAGTCATATGTCCCTTTAATTCCAAACATTATGGTGTCAAAACTTCGATGACTTGTGTTATATGCAGCTGAGGAAGCAGCAGCAAGTCTGCGATCGACAGCTTGCTACGGGACAGGTCTTGTTTAGTTCAAATCTTCCCAACTATTTAATGGAGCGGAAGTAAACAGACAAAAACGACTTAGAAGGACACCGGAACTAAGCAGTAGCCATAACCATCCTTGGACACATTGTTCTCGAGGCTGGAGTTCATACTGGGAGCGAAAGATCTACCAACATCCAGCAGCAGTGACTCAATATTTGCGAGAACCTGTCCTTGGAAAACGTTGTCGCGCTACTGTGTCCGAAGCCACATAGTTCGCCAGGTTAAAAGGACCTTATCCAAGGATTGTGAAGCTGGTACTCTGGTCCAGGCAGATGTCAACAAGGGTACTGGAATGCTGGTATGCGTAGTGCAGCAGACTACTTTCTGAGTTGTGGCTTAAAGCAACCTCAACTGAGCAAACACGCGACAACGCATCTGATAACATTACTGCTCTAGCTAACGAAACACCTCATGCGGTACACACAAGAGATGGTTAAGGGGGAAATGCCTAAATCCCTGAGCCTGATACAAATGGGCTCTTCACCGCCCCACCCAGAAACCGATTAATAGACAAAGCTTCACTGGTCGGTGCAGCGTCATACCCAAGGCACACCTCCCTCGATCTATCACTAAGTTGTGAGAAGTTTGCTAAAATACACTCCAGCGCACGATGATTCATCAACCAGCTCGTTGAAATTGGCTACATAAAACTGGAACCTCCTCTACGTAACTGAAACTTAGTTACACTCAAATATTGCCGATTTCGAAAGCGCGACGCATTGTGTGTCCTCCGTACAAAACCATCAGCTTAGCCAAGGTGGTGAAGTACTTCAGTAGTACGAACTGGTGAACGACCTGGAAGCTCTGATCACATTCTCACTCTGATGGTGTGTACGACAGAGACGCAAAGGCACCTGCCTCAGGAAGGGTTCTGCGATCACGATACAACAATCCTCTTATTTCAACTGACTTAAGTGTTCCCGATCTGGAAGTTCCGGCACCCCCATTGAGCAGTACAACGCCGGCCTACAAAAGTTTACTACAGTTATTTTGCTCTTTACATATGTCAGATTACCAACCTGACACAGAGCGGTATAACAATCTATCAGTACTTGATTTGGTGTGCATAAACTATGAGCTCATGATCGAGAGGCCAGCGATAGATAGTCCACTAAAGTTGAGTGATCACATCACCACAGTTCATGATTAAGTGTGTTAGATGGATTAACCACAGGAACACATTGACTTGTTGTGTACAATCAGACATTAGGATATAGTAACAAAGATTGTTAGAGAAGCCCCATGGTAGGTTTTGGATGACGGCTCTATTGATATTACTTGGGTGGAGTGTGTCGTTAAGTTCAGTAATCTGACCATATCCGCGTCAGACATCAGACCTGTTCGTACTACAAGAGCTCCATCATTCATTCAATGCACAACCCAAAAAGGAATGGCGGTAAGAGAAGCAGCGTGTCGTGCGAACGGAGCTGAACTTAGTCGGGATAACTGGAACAACTATATGGTTCAGCGGAACCGCCCTACCCTGCTTGTCTGTAAGGAAAAATTAGTAGTACGACAGTGTCTAGAGGAAAGGTTTTGCGCCCATAACCAATTTCCATACAGATATGTTAACGGCTTCCGGAAAGTGAAGTTGGATATGCCATCACTCATCTCAACATACAGGTGTGTTCAAAGCGCTAAGGAAGTATCAAATAATTCACGGTTACAGTATGCCTCAATTTTCCGACGCCCCATCAGCATGTCACATACTTGTCCCATTCACCCAGATGCCAGGACTGAAGGACATGGCCCATAATTCAGTGACTGTATTAACGAAGCTGTTATTGTTTCCCACCCGTAGTCCCCCAAGAGTTGATAATACTCGCCGGAGAGCGCTGGGTATCGGTAGCTGCGTGACTAGCCAAACCGTTAAACCGATTCTTTCAAAGTTATTTAGATGAACAGCAGGTTCCTAACGTGTGGAAGCAAAATATCACCAGCCTGATTTTGAATCGCGGTAGCCTTTCGGAATCCACTAATTACCGTCTAGTGGTTCGCATCCACGTGTTTTCAATGCCAATGGGTTTGACCACTGCTGTGACATTAATAGACTAGGTTGCGGGATCCACCCTCATAACACCGGAGAAACATGGGTGCCGTTATTATCAGTTGCGTTCAACTAAACTACTGACTACCCGTGGTAGCTGGTATGAATGGAATTATGATCAGAACCGATGTCATCCTTTTCAATTTTTCTAAAGTTTTCGAACGCTTTTGGATCACCGTATCCTTCTCCAAAAGTTGCAAACCCGCGGAATTAAGATCGCTTTCTTTGGATGGAAAGGAAAGCATATTCAACGTCAGCTTTATCCGCAGTTTGAGAGTTATTATCAGTTCCGTTTGAGACGGAATGTGTTGTCCCACAAGGATCAGAGTTGGTGTCTTACTTATTCTTGATCACCACTAACGTTCTCATGTGTGCCATCAAGTCGAACTTGCTTTTGACAACACGAACAACCTATAGCTGACGGTCGTTAAGCTGGAAACTCATGAACCGATGCAACCCGATCTGGATGGTGCTTTAGAATGGTCAAGGAGAATCTACTCCGCTTCCACGCGGATAATTGTAAACTCGTGCTTGTACACCAAAACCCAACTAATGCATGTATCTTAGTTATTCACAATGACCTCCGCCGTTCGGAACGGTCCTTGAGGGTGTCCAAAACCGCGAACAGGCATGCTGGTCGCTTACGTAAGGCGTTCGACCTGTTCGCCCCTTCCATCATCCTGCGAATATGCGGCCCGATGTGAGGCACCCAGTTTAGACCTGGCAACGCTGGTTAAGCAGAGATCTGGTTGCAATGGATCCCACAAAGTCAATGTCAACAAATATATTAAGGGCTTCTTCCATCTGACAAACCAAATGCGACTGAAAACACCATGCATGTACAGCGGACGTTATCGTCGTTTAGGGTGTGATCCCATCCCGAAGTATCAGATCTTAAATAACCCTAGTCACTTTTTCCGCCACCCCTCAGAAACTCAGCCGCAACACGAAATCTGAGTCACCCACTGAAACTGACCACCCCATAAAGCGAGTTAGAATACTGCCGGAAAATTTTTCTCTGAGATTGTCAGCCGTGGTATGTTCCTACGACCAATGTCACTTCTGCTTCATGTTATCCGTTAATAAAAATATGGCTAGACGATGCATTATACCATTCGCATTACCTGGCATGACCCTGCTTCATTGGGTTTCAGCGAAACGCAAATAAGCGTTGCGCTCACCATCTACTGCGAAATAGGAGTAGACGGGTTTACATGGGTTAGCGTGGATATTGTGGTGAACTCACAGATGCGATCTTGCCTTGCTGGCAAAAGATCTTCCTTTGAACATATGTAGCATGAAGACCCCCCCAACGGTGCTTTTTACGCCTTAACATTTGCTGCCCGTAATATTCCACATTTTCCTTGGTACTCTCCGTCCACTTTGAGTTTTGTCCGCTGCGTGACAGTACAGTTTCACTTATATTATGTGCTAGGGGTTTGTTGCCTAGCAGTGGAATCAGAATTATGACAACACTAACTAGTTGAATGTAAAGAAACTGCTTAACATTTAGTCCACTGGCTTCAAAGAAAGCATGCAAATTTACCCTCAGAAAGTTGAGTATGGATCCATTTAAAAGTTTGCGTCTGATACTACGATTAACCTTCCGTTCCGTTTGACTGTTCGTTGACAGTATCACTAGGTTCTAACTGATAAAATCTTTAACAAGCTGCTATTTCCTTGTCTTTAGTTTGTGGCCGCGATATTTTCACGCATTGAAGAAGAGGAACAAGCGGAAACCGATGATATTGATTAAATTGAACATCACATTTACCACAAATATTCAGTACAGTTTATCTGGGTTAATTAGCGATGCAAAAGAATTATGATTTGTAATAAGAACAAAAATTGATAGCTCAGATTCTTCTGGTGAAATCGAAATTTTTGCTGAGCTTGGCCACAAACTTGTCAAGCTCAGCGAACAGTTCGGCTGCCACCAGAATTTTGACTAACAAGATTGTACCTTTTGACCCAATTCTCGGCTTTATTCATCTAGAATCTAAGTGCCGACCATGACATAAATTGAACACAAATCTTGAGCCAACTGACCTACTTATCAGTGACCAAACCATAACTATGACAAATGAATCGTTAACTCACATATTACCCTTCGGTATCAAACACCTGCTTCGCCTACGAAGACCAATTACGGCTGAATCAAATCCAGTTTGAAATATCATGTTACCAAGGAAGAATTTGGTTCCCCTAGGTCACTTCAATTTGGGAGGACCACGTAACCGATTGCGTGAAAAGTACCGGTTGTAGCTAAAAGTGTTCCCAGTCAGGTACATAAATCCTATTTTGGCTTGAATCTACAGGTGCATGGTATTCCAAATAAAGACCACTGACACGATATCTAGCAAGGCTGAACAGTATGTTAATCACTAATTCACCATTATACAGTATCATGTAAGGAGGACACATTGCACTCTACCCAGTTTCTGCTCTACTTTTAGGATGGCCTGAATCCTCTAGAGGTGGCAGCCAGGGCATCGTACACAACTTTTGTGGATTTGATAATTAAAGCTGACCGTTGGAGGAACCGACACCCTGTGAGTGCAGTTCTTTTTCATTCCTATAAACTAGCATACTTAAATAATACAGTATCTTTCAAACTAATAATGTTTTAAGGGATACCTATCGTTCCTATAATAAACCTGTTGTTATGGACATTAGTATTGTTCTTTCATCTGATCTATCTTTCAGGCATTTTAGTGGAGGGGATCTTGATAGTCAGTAATATATGAGAAACCCATAGTAATGGCCACGTATCGACTGCGCGCTCCATCGAAAAGCCGTGACATTCCTTATCAACATGGTTCTTTTACTCCGCAACAAACGACCGGGAACAATTTATTTGCTCAACCATGCAATGTGATGAAAGGCGACAACGAATTTTGTGGTCAAAATTTACTGAGCCAGCTTCCTTTATTTCACCATGCTGAAGGCAGCTTGAGTTCGAAGAAACATGATATCTTAACGCATAACTCGGCACCGAACAACTTAATGGCCAAATGTCGTTCTACAATGGGTTTGTCAAAAACAAAACTCGGCACCACGAAATCAATTAACAAAAATTTGGTACAGTCACTTTTAGTTACATACGAAATGGGAATATTTAAGTTAAGCACAAGATCCAACACTGGAAGCAACAACCGATGCACGTTCACAGATGAACAATGGTACGGTAGGGTTGGGGCGCCGCTGACTACAATGAGAAATGAACAACGATTTTATCCGGGTTAAAATGCATTGCTTTACAACCCCCATTGGGTGGTCTGATGGGTTAGCGAAAAACATGAATGGAAAAGCAGTTAGTAGTTCCATTGTCAAATTAATGGACTAATCGTTTTTCATTCAGTAGCCTTGTACGCTGAGCGTTCCCATAGCTTCAATTTGAGAAAAAATTAACGCCAAGGTTTTTCTCGGGAGTAAGATGGAGATTAGCGTCAAGTAACAAAATGTAAGTGGCGAAGTGCTTCATCCAACCGACTTTTATATTTGGCTAGCGTAGTTTCTGAAACAACAGATTGGAGGAGAGCTTTCCATGTTTGACACACACGAACGGAAAAGAAGTTTCTCCGACACGCCAGACGGCTGTACTGTTTTGCTGATTTCAAGAAGTGGCCTCTACGTTTGGTGTTACTGCTGAATTGTAGCAAAGAGCGACACACATGATTTCGATTGTGTAAAATCAACTACGCCATAATCAAATCGCTTCTTACTAGGCGATAACGCCCGCTGAATACTCCTAAGGGTTTCAGTGTCTGATCATTCTGAAGGCGGTGCGTTCCAGTAACGTATTTAGAAGCCCGACGATGAGGTTGGTCCAGTGCAGTGAAGTCGCACTTCAGCCATGGCTTCCAGGCTTGGATTGTGTATTCGACGTTGAGACGAACATACGCTTTCAGCATCTGTCTGAAAATAGTGGTATCTAGTTGTCCGAAAGCCCGACGTAGCAAGCCAAAAGGCTGGTTACTAATTTTTGGTGTCTTTGGGGATGCTTGAAACAACCCAACTTATCCTGAACAAATCTCCAAGGTCGCGTTCGACGAATGACCGCTGTATTACTTGCGCTCCTAGTTTTAAGGAATAGCTACTCTCTTATCGTATGGAGAGTAACTTGCTTTTATTTACGTTGAACTGAAATAGATCTCGGGTTGGCCAATCACGTACGTATCTAGGTCACACTGCAGTAAATTCTGATCGGCATCCTCATGAATCCGACGCCTTATTTTTATCGTCAATAAACAGCGGGAACTTAGAAGCGTTATTCGTGCAAAGTCAATGATGAATACCGAAAACTACCGCGGACCTAGAACTGAGCCCAGAGGCACACCAGACTCGACTGCTATGGGTTCAGATAACGAACTTTGGACTCTCAAGACCAATTATCGTTACAAGAGAAAGTTGGCGATCCAACTCAAGAGAGGGTCACCGATCCTGTAATACTAGTGCTTGGAAAGGCGAACCCAATGATCAAAACGATCGAACTCCTTCGACAACTCCAAATCGATCACATCAACGGCAGCTCCAGCCGCAGCTGACAGTCCAACTACTCCGCGCGAATAATAAATGCGTCGTACATGATTGCTGTCGACAAAAGCTGTGGTAGTCAGAAGCAATAATGTTACAATTTTCTAGACAACACACTAAGCATCGGCAACGACGGATTCTATGATCTTGCATAATACAAGCAGAGGAGACATTGGGCAGTAGTTTGAGTGCTCAGTCTTGCTTCTGCCTTTGAGAATAGGAGTTGTTATTCTAAGTTTCTACCTCGCAAGAATCTGGTTCTGGTCTGAGTAGCGCTGGAAGACCTGTACCAAAGGTGTTACCGGTTGTCTTGCTGTTTCTCCCAGTGCCTCTGAGCGAATGGTTTCGACATCCCGGGAGCTGTGGTTGCGCAGAGATGGCAGATTCCGCAAAACAGCTTCGTCCGGAAAAGTGATGTGGGTGAGTTCTGGAAGCGGGAAAACAACAGTTGGAAGGTGGCCTGATGGCAAGACCCTCTGAAAGATGGGAGCATATTGCTTCCGCAACGCGTTTGCTGATTCTATGGCTGTTCTAGGTTGACTACCAGTCATTCGGAGAGAAGAAATTCTCTTCCTCACTTTGCGACGGCCATTGACATACTTTTACAACAGTTTGTGGTTAGCGCTGAAAGTTTCCGCCATATGCTGCTGGTCTGCTACTTTGTCATTTCTGAGCAGTTGGGTTCAGTGGTTAGGGTAGGCTACGTAGTTGTCCCAATTATCTCACGTTGATGATGATGTGTGCTTTTGCCAGACTGCGTTGCGTTTAGTTATCCACTTTCTAATTCTGCTTCTCATGAAAGAAACGGTTTTGGGCTCATTCAAAACGCTTTTGCTTGAGGCATCCATGATCGGTTGATTGAATTTGCTGCCGAATTCAAGCCAAGCGACTTCCGGATAGTTTTCAGCGAGGCACGACCAGTTTGTGGTACAGACGAGCTTGGCTAAGAGGTCGTAGTGCGTAATGGTGCGCACCGACTCAGGGTACTGGTTGTGATATTCCGCATAGCAGAAGAAGTCGAAACTGATGGGTGAATGGTCACCGTGACCCAAGGGCATTCCACGATCAATACATCAATCATATATTCTTTGTCCGTGAAAATAAGATCCAGCAAGGAAGGTCCATTACCTATTCTGAAAAGAGTGGGAGTAAGGATATGATTGTAAAGTAGAACAATGCTTAGAAGAGCTTGCAGGTCTGCTTTGAATGGCTCTCCGATTGTAGCAGGAGTTTCTAAACAGTGTACCTTGAAATCACTCAGGATAAGGATGTGAGTGTGCTTTCGCTTTAGACTGCATCTTAACTCATTCGCAAGTTGGCATTCCATTTCTGGTGTAGAGTTGGTGGGGCGGTAAATCGAAGTTACAATGCAGGTGTCTCTGCCATGTAATTGCAGGCGGCACCTTAGAGAAGCAGCGGACTGTAAGTCTGAATCCTTCACGGCCTCGCACTACAGGTTGCGTCAGTAATATAGAACTGTCCCACCTCCTTTCGTAAGCCTGCCGTTTCGTATGAGTGACATACCCAGCAGCGAGACGTCATTGTCTGTCATCCTAGTGTGCAACCAGATCTCAGTGGCACTGATAATATCGCATGGCTTCGAAATTTGGCGATCTTTCAGTTCAGCAAGCTTATTGAAAAGACCTTGAGCATTTTTATAAAGGCGTGATAGTTTCTCGGCCTCTAGGAGCCAAAAGAGTCAAGTGTGGTAGATTGTTGACCGGTGCGAGGTCGGCCGTTATTCGTCTTTTTTGATAGAATGATGCTGTCACGTCATTCACAAACTGCTTTGACTCATGTATGTCCCATTTCTCTTCCAGACCTGCTGCGGAATCGCGTGACCGAGCTGTAAAGCGATACTTATGCATAATCACTGGTAGGATTTCTTTCTCAGGTAGGCTCATGTCTAGTCTTGGCAAGGACTCAGCTGCTTTTAACCAAAGGTCAGATGGAAGGTTTCTACGATGTCAGCGCCAACGTTCTAACACTTCCGTTGCTGTTTGCTCTGACTGAACCAAGAGGATTCTTGGTTCGTTTCCTCTGAAATTTTATTGGGAGAGGTAGCTATTTAACGATCGTGCCACAACGTTGTCCAAACAAACTGTGTCGCGAATGAACCGCCACTGTTCCAAATCGTGATTGTCAGCCTCATGACTATCGAGGGAAGCAAGTTCTGTCACGCCAAAGGATGGTCTTATCACTAATGACAGTCGCGCAACTCAACTGCATCAGATTTGAGCTCCGCACACATGCATAAAGTTATCATCTTTTGGGATTCTAGACATGTTCAACCCCCCTAGTTATGTAACTGGACAGGGAAGACATCTTCCTGCCATTGCTGAGTATGTCCAAGCTATCCATGAACACCGGAACCGTAGCAACTCAGTAGAAAGAAGCTATAATCGTGCCGCGATTTAAATCGGCCTCACTTTACGAGCTTAAAAGTTATGGATCGATAAGCCATAAGTCAATCTTATAAAAAGGATGGAGCGACATATCAAAGCTAACACTGTCGTATTCCTAATATCAAAAAGGCTAATAAGCAACTCTTAACATGGTTTCTTGAATAATCTGTCTCGCATGACGTGCCACCTGGAAGCTGTAAACTATATGACTACGTCGCATGATGTCGGTATGTTACCTAACCTAATTTACCTCGACATGCACAAACCCTTTGATCGGGTGCCTTATCAAAAGCTAATAAATAAAGTGATGTCCTACACGATCGGTGGACCCCCGCTATCTTGGTTCTTCTCATACCTTACAAATCGAACGCAAGTGATGCAAATTCAAGAATACAGGTCTCATCTTACGCCTATCACCAGTGGTGTGATACAAGTATCCTTTGGCCGCTTCCGACATCTTTGACATAGCTGAATTCGGTACGCCATGCCTGTTTGCCGTTGACATTAAAATCCTATCCATTGTCAGTCCGGAAGACTTCAGTGATGCTGTCAACATGATCCAAAGCGACCTCCACCCACTTGAAACTTGGTGCTCAAAGTGAAAAATGTCATGCTCTATTGACAAATGTGACCCAATTTCCCACAAATGCGACTTGACTCATAGGGGTCTGACTCTTGATGGCAAACCACGTAACCTCATCCCTACGGTTAAATGTCTGGAATTGCAGGATTCATGCTCACTTGACTTCCATGAACAAATAGGAAATGCCACTACGAGAGCAAAACAGATAATTGGATTGCTATTCAGGACTTTTCGCTACATGAATTAATACTTTATTCCTACAAATCAGTTCTTCAAATCATGTTAGAATATTTTTCAATGGTTTATAGCAGCGCAATACAGGGCGACCGCACTGCGCAGCATCCACAAAACACATTCTAGGTGTTGCTTCAATGCCGGAAGATTTTAAACGACGTGATATGCTCAAGCCTTATCCGCCGTGGTTACGGCGCATTAAGCATAACTTAGTTATCCTGCTTAACCTCTTGCACAGAAATATACATATTTCCAAACTTAACATGACCTTTATGTAATCAGCAATCTACCACGCAGGAAAAATAACGACCTCTGTGGAGGAATGCAAGTCCTGAACCCGCAGGTCTGCCAACTTTTCCCTCAACTGGTACGTCAGAGTCTGGAACAAGCTAGCACTAGGACTACGTGTCTGTAATCTTGAGTACGAATTTCGAGTAAACATCAGTAAGTTATTGTCTGCACAGAACGCGATGAAACTGTTTGCTTGTTCCACAACAACAAGCCAAGCGTACGAGTAGGGTCTTGATTTGCATACAACCCAATGCATGTTTCACCATCATATTATCTCCTGTGGTTAGGCGGATTATATGTGAGAGAACGATTAAAAACCTGCCAACATCCTTTCACATCAGTCAACTATTGATCTCTTCCTTTTCTTTCCAAAGTCATTATCTGAGCTGATATACAATTTTCCTGATCCACCTGTGATCAACTACTAGGAAGTATATACCTACCCGATCCTGCCGATATAGACGTGTCTCGCATTGTCGAGAACAAAATTCTCTTTATTTATTAAGTTATTTGACAATCCAGGTGTAGGAGCAGGGTTCGTTTTTCATCTGATCCAATACATGTTTCACCACCATACTGTCTCCTGTGAATTAGCTTATTTATAATTAAGTATGTGAGAGGGCATTTGAACGCAAGCCAACATCATTTCACCTTAGTCAACCATTTATTAAACCTTTATAGTCCTTCCAAATATCACTATCTGATCTGATTTCCAATTTATTTTGATCTAGCTGGAACCGACATTTTAAACAAGTAATCACTTACCCGGTCAAGCCGATACTGACGTGTTTCGCATAGTCAAGAAGAAACATCTATTTATTTGTATTTTAGCTCACCATGTCTCTGATGCGGTTTTCAGCTTCTGCTAATAGTGGTACACGAAACATTCAAAAACCCTTCTACTGTAAGCATGTATATCTAACTGAATACAAAACCACTGACGTGAAATTTTTCCAATGCGTTTTTCAAAATAACCAAAACTAACACTCTCCTACGGATCATTTTTAATCAGAAAGTAGGTGGTAAATGTGGTTACAGCAATAGCAATCAGTAGACTTCATTGGTAAGGAAATTTTGTTTATCTACATGGGGAAACACTAATCTCTTAAATTTATTCCTTTTAAACCTACCAATGGTCTATCGTCTGCGATATGAGATGCAACGCAGCGAAGCAGTGAGAATTCATGCTAGAGATACTAGATTGTTGTACTTGGCCCATGAAATTTGTTTCAACAATGCATGGAAATAGACGACAGTTTGACATGATTCAGGTTCGTTCAATCCGATTGATACAAGAAAGGGAAAATAGCAGCGATTGGCGGAGTGAAAATTACTACGCAATTGGACGATTGTGATTAGATAATTATAATATTCGTATATGACAATAAGTTTAATAATAGTTACATGATCATATCATAAGCTAGTTGAGATCTGTCTCCGTTATGAAGTATTTATATCAGATGTAACGAACAATGTGTGGTGAGAAACTATAATAGAGGGAATATGATAAGTGGACAACAAAGTTCGTCTTATGACCGTTAAACTGTACGGATGGTGGCGCAGTTTGACAGCGAATTCAGTCTCTGGTAAAGTGAGTTCGACTGAAGATAATAAGTAATATGACCAAACTAGCTGACAAGATTTGTTTAGGTTTGAGTACAAGGATTGTCTTGAATGTTATATGCAAATGCGTGGTCACGGCAAATCGGAAAGCTAAATGACGTAATGACATCTACGAAGTCATGTATTTTGTGTGACTTCATTGAAGAAATCTGTTTATTAAAGCCTGTCTACACTGGTTCGCCAACCCTTCTTAGACAAAGGTGGTTACTATGTTATCAGAGATTCATAAATATTAATAGGCTGAGAAACTTCCACCGCCTTTTAGGTAACCGGATAGATAAATGAGAAACTGCGCTAGGAAAGTATTGGTGTGCAAATAGTGTGCTTGGGCAAATATCATTTGATGATATAGTCAGGTTTGTGTGTACAGCTGAAACAATATTAAACCTTTTAGAAAGTGCATGCCTTTGCACAACATAGTTGTTTTGCTTGTCATTCTTAAACTCTGCTAGTTGAAGTGCGTGTCGAAATCACAACTTCCCGATACCATTCATTTACTAATGCAAAAATCAAACGATAGGGACGGTATTCATTGTTAATATCGGTTGTAGCTACTCGAAAATTCCTATACCCTATACTAACCGGTCAATATAACAATCACTTTTAATACGGGCGATCCCCATCAACAGTGGGATAAACCCCTTCGCAAGTGCAGAATCAAAAAAGGAAATGTGGCTCTTGTTATCCTGATAGTTTTCGGCGGTTTATTGCTGTGGCGTATTTCAATTGCTTTGGATCCAACAACAAAAGACGGTAGTCGTATAATTTACTATTTAATTCCACAAGGCACAACATCTCAAGCGAATCTTCAGCCTGTAATCCATAGTTGTTATTGTCAGATTTCGTAACTTCTCCACCAGAGTTAGTGTTCATGTGCCCCCGCAGTGGTGACGTGCCCCACATTAATGTGTGAAATCAGTACAAGCACAAACTGCTATCATTTTTGCTTCCTACCAAGAAAATGTGTGTGCCGTGCTTACATGGAACTGTGCTGTATTGAGGTCAGCACTAATTAGTCATTAATGCGCAGCTTTGGAGAAATCGCATCCAAATTCGAAGTGCTTACCATGAACCAATACACTGTTACTCTAACTTCCCCATCAAACACACAAGAAAGACCTCAAAAGCTGAAAAGTGAAATAACTGTGAGGATCAATCTAGAATTTCTAGTTAATTTGTTCAATATTTATCCATATCTGAGTTGGCGATTCATCGAATTACAGTGTGGCGCTAGGTCAATTTCATCTCTTTGAACTCTTCCAATGTAAAAAGTACTTTGCTGGCGAGATTATTCAGGCTGAGTCCTTTCAAAACGGGAATGATAAGTAGTTATTTACTATGCTGCTTGGCTTGTAAACTGCTTTTTCAGACATATCTGACAGCGTTTACGAAAATCACCACGGACACGAAAAGAGAAAACACTTGCTGCTTGCTTAAAACTACACACGTACCTCGTTTTTGGTGGAACCTAGATGTAATAATGGGGGACAAATGTGTGGAACAGGATTTAATTACACTGACCAAACCGAAATAAGCCCATTTCACATCCATAGTCAAATGAATCAACATGTTAATGCTTCAGTGTAATGAGACAAATTGTTTTAAGTCACATCAGTAAGAGGTTGCTAGGAAGTAACCGTTTCTATCCACTGTTTGTCTTCTATGTTCCGAATTATTACAAGTACTGTATGCCTTTCACTGCTGTATACAACTGGTAGTACCCTGCACCCAGTGATAGCTAAACTGGTATTGAACATTTTGCCAGAAATTACATCTAGTACAGTCGAACCTGTATTAACAAGCACGCCCAACGGCCGGTTAAGAGAAGAAAACACGTATACTCCTTTAGTTACACACAAAATTCCGCCTCGTGGCACGAATCTCATTAGGCTGGTCGTCGTACCCTTGGTGTGGAACCTTCGGGAAAAGTTATAGTTGGGGAGCAGAGAAAGGTTGATTCCGACCCTATACATAATAGGGTCGGTATCTCTGTTAAGGGGCATCTATAATGGCAGGTGCCGTTATATGAGCTGCATCAGCATAATGGTGCATTCAAGGTCACTTCTCTACTTGTAACCCGGCTCCCCCATAAGCTGTAACCAAGTAAAGAAGTTCAGCAAGGGTTTTGAATCTTTTTCTTATTAGCAAATTCATCATATGAAATATGTTGCAAGATTTATCACAAACCATTGGAAACAAATAACCAGTTATATCTGTTTCACGTCTTCCATTGTGCACCCCTAAAAGGACAGAGCAGATGCACTAAGAGGTCGCCTGTTAAGCATACCCGGCTCAGGATCGTCACCGCTTGTACCTACCACTGATGATGGATTTTCCCCACGATCACCTGATGACAGAATTTACACACATACAAACACACAAAACCACCCCAGTAGTATGTGGAGCGCAGCTAGCTCCTCCGACCAGCAAGGACACGAGGAAGACTACGCCCACTCCTATGTCTACGAATCTCCTATCTCAACGCCGACACCGACAACGAACAGACGCCTTAGCACTCCGGTACCAGTAAACTTGTCTGCTAAAACCAGCCATTACGTTGCGGGGACAACGGACCATACAACGGCAGGTTTTGTTGATCCTTATGAAATGTTTCCACCACCGCCCCACCCAGTACTAACGACGCAACAAGTAACCGCAGCGAACTCCACTCGTCACTCTATCAGTGGGAGTGATGAATTGTCTTTAGGTTTCGAAGCCTCACGCATTTGGGAATCTCGTCACACAGTTGGTAACAACTCTAATGAAGCCATTTCACGCCATGCCGCACCATCACACATCTCTTACAGCCCAGAAGTTAATGCAAACTTGGAGAGTCCCAATGATGATCCTCTTACTCTGGTCGCTTACAAGGAGCACATCCTGCCAAACGGTGAAACGCTTGTAACTTTGGGCGATGTGGGTCCAACTGACGATACGCTCACATCCAGTGGCGTTAGACGGTCGTCGACAGCAGAAATTGGATACTTTAGCTTCATGACATACAGTCAAGTACGCTATATAATTTCGAATATAGAATATTCACTTGATGATAACTCCTTTTCCGCATTGATAACAGCTACAATATTTATTTTTAGGTTCTCTTAAGCAATGTGCCAGTGTCTTCATATGATGAGCTTATTTGACCATGACCATAAGCAGCCGTGAGTTGAGTCAAAGACACACAACCAACTTATCCAACTAGAATACAATATCGACATGTATTGCACTGAGCGCTTCGCACATTAAAGTATGAATGGGATCTGTGAAGAGACAAGAGAAAATAGACTCATCCGGTGAAGTTACGCCTTGCATACCTGTAAGCTAGCACTAAGAGCTCGGTGCCCTGTTAAAAATACATACGAGAAACCATGTATAGGCTTTAATTTCCGGCTGGATTCAGTCTTGTCCCCAAGGAAAAAAGAATAATTTCACCTGCCGCTTAAGGTGCAACACATAACTATAGGAACAATAACCTATCGTAACCATGGATCTTGGGTTAAATCTTTTACACGACATTTAGCAGAAAACTATCTCATCAAATAAGTTCATTATTAAAAAGTAAACGAAACACTGGACCGAGTTACGGATCAGAGGCAAAGTGAAACTTAACTTCTAAGTCTTAGTGTTCGGTAAACGGTTTGCTTTTAAGAAATTAATAGTACCAGATTGTTACTAAAATGCCAATAGACAGGACGGTGAGTTCGTAATGAACATATACCAAATCAACCATGCAAAACACATCCACTGGAACAGAAACATGACATCTACTGAAGTGCAACTTAGGGAACGAAAGGTGAATCCTTGAGTGATGGCAGCGCAACACTACGTTCAGCAATAACTGGGCAAAAATCATGCCATGGTGCTCATTCGTCGAAATTCGATAACCCATATCTAGGATTGCGATATCAGTTGGTGCAAGCGCGATCGTGTTTCCCTATGATCATTACATGTTTGTATGCGTGCAGTTTTATGGATACGCATTTCTTATTCAGCATGGAATTCATTAAGCTATAGTTTACTAGATGAATAAGAGACAGAAGTCTGTCTCTGGAATAGGTACCATGGACGACGCAAGATCCCGACATTAAATACTACTTTGTAGTTTAGTCAAAGATGGAACGGTTTTAAGCTACCGACTGATGTCTCTGAGTGATCCACTAATTTGCAGTGCGGGTCGCTGTGGGTGTACAGACGCGCCTTTCTTTTCTGTCGTTGGGTTTTGTTTTTGACTAATTACAATCCGCGTTTTGAAACCAGGAGTTCGATAAGTCTTTTATAGAGCAAATCTTCACTTATGGATACGATACCCAAGTTCCGATTGTTTGACTTATTAAAGATTGGCGTATATAGTGTATCGCTTTTTTCTTCGTATTTCCTGATCGATGGTGTCATAAATCTCAAATGACATCAGCTGGTTGTAGAATACTGACTATTGACTTTAGGGAGTTCTTAAGTAGCCATGGGTGATTCCCATTTCGTGGCTGGTAACAAAGCATGGATATCTTTACCATTCGCCTGCGTTGCATTATAGTGTTCTCTGTCAGCAAACATCACCATTCATTGCAGTTGTTCTGTGGACGACGCTATTTCTCGCGAACTCATTTCCTTAGGTGGTAGAATATTGTTAAACATAAGCCAACCTAGTAATGCTTCCATTCTCTTGCTGTCAGACCAAAACATCAACTTCAATTTGCACAAAACCGCAATTCCTCTAACCTAGTGATCACATTAGCCTTAGCATTGTTCTTGCGATGACATTGTGGAAAGTGACATACCAGAAATTTAACGCTGGTTGTAAACAAATGTTTTGATAAATGTTGTTGTTGATAAATGTTGCACTGGCTCCGAGTTACGTGAGTGAAGTTCTACGCTGCTTTCTACTTGTTTGTACTCACTGCACGTAGTATCCAGAATAACTACGGAGCATTCGCGAAGACTTGGCTTTTCGTTCGGTAAAACATATTGCTATTCATCCAGCTACATGGTATGCTGCTGGTTTTGAACAAGTAAAAACAAGATAAGTTAAGTTCATTTATTCTGTTCAAGCTGTTCTTGGCTTCATTCATAACCAATACGCCAAACGCAATGAACCAATTTCATTTACAGCCTTACGCCGAAGAAACAAAGGTTATGCTTTTCGAAATTTCTCACAAGTATTTGAACGCAGGGGAATGGAAGAAACTGGCGCACTACTGGGCGTTCGAAGAAAAACACATAGCGGCAATCGAGTATCAGGATACAGGTAAAAAGGTGACATTTACGTCAAAAACCAGTACCCTTCATTTGGCTTCACTGTGAGAATTCTAGCTTCATTTCTGCTGCATAGTTCTGTTTAGTCGCACATATCTACAATGAATGTCGTGCATCTACTTGTCAAGCCCTGGTCTAAACAAAAAGTAGTTGTTTGTGTAATTAATTCTTTACTTATTTAGACTTTAAATAACTTAATTGGGAAGAAATTCAATACGGCTTTCTTGTCTAATAAATTGCGCAAGACGCAAACTCGATTTATGTGGCCTGCGGTTGGATTATCCATTAGCGATACTGATGCAACTCTCGTGCTTCACTATTCCGTTTCACACGAAAAGCTGGAGATGAAAAAGAGTTCATACACAATACTTGTACCCAGTTAAGCTGAAATCCCTAAATTCCACCAGCGGACACAACGTAGCAATAAAAGCATAAACCTGCTGGAGACATGTGGGAAAACTTCTGTCGAGGGTTAGATATTAAGATTGGGACTTCTGTTTTACACTTAAGAGGGTAAACGGTTAAGACAACTATAGCTGTGCAAACTTTTCTTTGTTCAGTCGTGTTAAAGGAGACGAACACAGTGAATTAAATAAATAAATAAATTGTATATGGCTCGACGATGCGAGAAGCCGTTCCCAGAAGGGACGGATCAAATAATGGTACAGCATTTTCATATCATGGTATAATAAATTTAAAAAAATGTGAGCACAAAATGAAAATTTGTGTAGCGCGAAGCGGTCCAAAATATTTACATTCCTCTTGTTCTATCGTCTGACAAGTTTTTAGCAGTCACATGAGAGTTGATCGCACACGAGAGAAAAAAAGAGAATAAAGTGCTGCGGGCCAACAAAATATAACCACTTGTGCACTTGACCACATGCATTTTCAGGCACCATTTAACTCCGTTCTCAAAAGCGTTATCTAAGGACTGTGCTGTTCGAAACATTATTATCACATTTTGAACGGTTAAATGATCTTTTATCGAAAGCTTAAACAAACGCAATGTGCAACAAGTTCTGATAGCTCTTGGAAGTCTGTTCCAAAGCTTTGAGCAGTGTATTAAGAAGAAACGCTCCCTAATTCGCGTATTGAACTTTGGAATCATGACCGTTGTCTCCTTATTTCGTAGCTCGTACCTAGTGTTAACGGCCATATGGACACAGTTAGCATAATTGTGCATGTGATGGTGAATTATTCTGTACAGGAAACACAAGTTCATCTTCATTATCCGTAGCCAAAGTGGGTCAAGTCCAAGTTTTTCACTGCGCTCTCTGTAGGTCATCTTGGAGGAATATCCGCACAGCTTCTTTGTAAAGCGTCGCTGTACCCTCTCAAGAGCATGCTGGTCAGATTTCCGCAGATTCGACTGTAGTAGTGAGCAGTATTCCATGCCAGGTAACGCATATGTTTTGTAAAGCCAGATACGAGATTCTGTGAGTTGAAATTTATGACAGATATAGCCAATAGTCTTCATGGCTCTCGAAACTTGGAAGTCACAATGTTCCGAAAAGTTGAAGGTAGTGGAATACCGCACACCCAAGTCGCGAATCACTTTGCACTGTGATATAAACGTGCCTTGTAATAATAGACTGTCTGGTGGAACTTCGCATTTGTACGACAGAATATTACACTTGTCCACGGAAAAGGACATCTGCCACAGTTTGCTCCAGGATTCAAGTGCCGATAGATCTTCCTGAATGTGGCACAAGGCTGCGCGGATACCTGCACGTTCTTGTGAGTAGACGATTTTAATGTCATCAGCAAACAGAAAAGTAGCACCATGTCTTATTCTATGAAATACATCGTTGACGTAGAGGAGAAAAAGAAGTGGACCAAGTACACTTCCTTGAATTACTCCACTGGTGACTGCTTTCGGTTTAGAGACACGGTCGCCAATACGCACCACCTGATGTCTGTCAGCTAGGTATGACGACAACCAAGAAAACATTGGTTCTCCAATACCTATTTCCTTCAGTTTGAGGAGTAGTCTTCGATGCGGCACTCTGTCGAATGCTTTTTGCATGTCTAAGAACAGGACAATAACACTGTTGCCTTTGTCCATGGCAGCCGTTGTGTGGTTTAAGAAGTCTGTCTGGCATGTCGCACAAGATCTGCCCTGCAAAAAACCGTGTTGTGAATTGTTGATGACGTTTTTCTTATTCAAGAAAATAAGTAATCTTTCACTATCCTTTCCATAATTCTAGATATTACAGGTGTGTGGTTGATGGGGCAATAGTTTTTAATTTCGTGAACGTTTCCATTTTTATGCCGCGGGATAACAACGGAAGTCTTCCAGTGCTTAGGATATACTGCACTGTTAAAAGAGGGTGTAAAAATGTTGAGCAATAGAAGAGGCAAGTCGCTCCCACCGCTTTTTAACAAACAAGGGGGAATTCCATCAAGTCCTGGGTAAGTCGAGGAAGACAAGCGGGAGACTTGACCGGAGATTTTTGCAATAGTGAATTCCACTGTACATAAACTTTCAGCAATGTGTGGTGTGAAAAGCGCTGGTGTGGCTAGCGGTTCATCAACCATTGATTCGGCAAAATAGGCACATAATCCGTTACTTTCTCTGCTGTTTTTTAATTCAAGGAAATATATTTCTGTCGTATTTGAGCTCACTGGGACAAAACTAAATTTTGTATTATTATTGCCATTGTATTATTCTCTCTGTCCACATTACAGGCAAGAACTCTTACAAAGATCACGGGTATCGGTTAATGAGTATCTGGCTGCATGGTATTGAGGCGAACGTTTCACCCCTAAATGAGGTATATCAAGCCTTGATTGCAATTAATCAAACGAAATTGGCAAAGAAGCTGAGAGAACGGGTTGAGATGACCAAGCGAAGGAAGAAAGGTTGCCGTGTACAGTGACATAGTTGACTGGAATCCTGCACAATGTTGGTCAGCAAAATGTGATGGAAGATTCAGTGTTCTGTAAATAACGAACAACAGCGGCGGTTGCACGCCTCTCATACACAGTACTGTACACTAGAATAACAGCTTCCTTTATGCACTATAGCTGAGGTTGCAGAACATATCCAATGTTGCGCTGCGTCGTCTCAGAAAATTAAAAATATTACATGGACAGAAATAGTTCGTAGTTGTTTACCCCTGCGATCAGGGATTATTGCGTTGTTTCAATCTCTCTCGTGTCAAAAGGCGTATTCTAATGGTGAATAGTTGGTTTGTTGCATATTTGTTTACACAGTTTGAGGCTTGTCAGAAGCGCGAGACTGATTATCCGCTAAGAAGCTACCGCAATTGCAACGCGTACTGATCCTCGTATAACGGTCCATAACGTAGCCTTCTACTGTATAGTGCTTTCATGTCAATTAAGGACAATTGCTATTATATGGGTGCCTGTTTTGTCTAAAGTCGGACTGTATTGCGTGTTTACCACACAAGTGACCAACACCTACCACTTCATGTTGTCAAGATTATGCCACCTCCAGCGCTTGAAAGCAATTGGAGGGTTTTATCCCAAGTCGGATTTTCATCAGGTCACGATACTACCTGCTCCAGGTGCTTTGTGACTGGTGAAATAATGGAATCTTAAATTTCTACGCAGAAGAATCGCAAAGTGCTATGATGGAAATAAACGAAGTGGCAGCATTTCACGTAGTTGGCGCGATACTATGCCAACTCGATCAAACGAGAACAGGATTTGTGAGTAACGGCTGAAAACGCAGTCAACGAAACTTCCTTCTTTTAGTATCTAGACAAGAAATATGAGTATAAATACACGTGTAGTTCTCGAAAGTGCGAGTAACTGATCCTTAATTAGGAACAGACCAGCATGTACAGAAACCTTCCAGCTCTTGTGTGAGTGCATGTTAACGCCAGTTCTTAGTTCTTTGGATATTTTTGGACCATTATGGAATAATTCCTCAGTTGAGTTGTCCCTTGAGAACACAAATAATATTACTACTAAATTAAAGAATCTGTTGAGTTTGGTGTAGAATGAAGTGGGGTTATCGCATGTTTTGATTGCAGTTGGTAGACTGTTCCACAAGACGGCGTATCTGATGAGGAAAATGTTGGACCACATTGAGGTTCTAGTCCTTGGTATCCGTAGCGCAACATTTTTGTTACGGAGTTTCTGATGGTGTGTTCTATCAATATGGTATCTCGGTAAGCGTACGTTTCCTGGTGCAACAAGTTGTGTAGGAGCAACAAGTTTTGCTTTAGACGTCGCAGCCAGAGAAGCTCGATGTGAAGTTGTTTACTACGTTCGTGATAGTTTAGAGTAGATGTGCTATTGAACGAACGTTTGGTGAATGACCTCTGTAAATTTTCTATAGATTTCATATCTAACTTCCGCATCTGCCATAGATGAAGTTGCTGTATTCAGGAATAGGACGAGTAAGAGTTTTAAATATTTGCAATCTGGCAGGGACTACATGGATTTTGTGGCCATATGCTAACTACGGATTGTTTAGACCGTGCTACAAGGTATTGAGCTTGTTCAGCAAAACGGAAGTCGGGAGAATATCGGAACCCAAGGTCACGAGTAGACTGCTGTGTGAACATACTTTTGTTGTTAAGTTTACTAGACACATTTGGGGTAGAGCAACCACATGACATAACGTTTGATTTGTCGGTTGAAAATTATATCAACTAGGTCTCACACCATTCTTCCATAGATTGAAGATCTTGAATTTAAAGTGCTGTTCTTTTAAGCGCAGCAAGCCGGAGTTTGTAAACAGTCTTGATATCATCTACGAATAGAAAGATTTGACCATTTTTGATGGAGCTGCCAAAATCATTGATGTGGATGAGAAAAAGCAGAGGGTCGAGTACAGTTCCGCTGATTATTGGACAAGAAGAGTGGTGATTACTCAAAGTGACTAATTGAGGCCGATTGTTAAGGTAGGAAAAAAGCCAACTTAAAAGCGGGTTATGGATTCAATAGGACTCAACTCTCTTCAACAACCGTTCATGTGTTACACGTTCGAATGCTTTATCTAAGTCCAAAAACAAAAATGTTATTAAATACCTGGAGTCTATGGATTCTGAAGTATAGTTAAGTTAATGTAGCTAGCAGGTCATGCAAGGAGGTTCAGCTTGGAAGCCACATTGAGATATGTTAAATAGGTTCAAAGAATTAAGGAACTCTATCAACATTTTGTGATTACTCTTTCAAACAGAATGGCGATGGTAGGAGAATGTTGTATCGGTCGGCAATTGGTAACATTTTGCTTGGGAATACTTTTATGGCATGGGATGATGAATGAGGTTTCCCAATGATCAAGGAAATAACTAGTTTGTAGTGATAAAGTGAACATGTTTGATAATAGTACTGGTAAGTCTGGTACTCCCATTTTAATCGCAATTGAATGGATGCCGTCGGAGTCCAACCTAAAAGAAGTTTTGTTGGTTTTCATTGACCGTTAAATAGTGCTGTAGGAATTTCGACACTGCTTAAACTTTTGGTTGTAGTGGTTTGAGGAATGTCAGTTATGGGGTCTGCTTCAAAACTCATGGCGGCAGCAAAGAAGACGCTAAACACCACAAAATTTGCACGTGGGTCACTTAAAAATTTGCTATATTCATCTAAGAGTCCCGTGAAAGATGAAGAGCTATTGTCTGTTCTATGACGGAGAACAGTGACGAGTCGCTCTGCTTTGTTACCCGTTCGTAGAGCATTTTCGTCCTCGATTTGTGTCCCATTACTTGCGGATGTTTGCTCCTAGTGATCCGTTCATGCACTTGCAATATGTAGCTTGTGAACTGTTAGGATGAAAGCCTTATCCAATTTGCAACTTGCAATATTGTCGAAAAGTATCCGGTCCTGTGAAACCTCCCCTTCAACTTCCTCACTCAGGTTAGTAAGTTTGTTTGCATCAATAGAGTCGTAGGGAACAGGTTTACTTTGTTTACTAAAATGGATTATGGCATAGTGGATGTTAGTACCGAACTGTGCTGCTGCCAGGCAAATATTGGTGGATAGGAAAAATGTATCCCAGTCGGCAGATCGGACCAAATGTTGGAGGTGTGTCCAATCAATTCCCTGGATGGAATATTGTGGGAGCAGGTTCTGTTTGGCATCTGATCTGATATTGAAAATGCATTGTAATGTTTTGTCGTCACTACCTGGAATACGGTCCAGCAGAACGACGTTTGCTTCGACGATTCCTAATGTACGTAATAAATCAAGTACGCCAGTAAACCTAGTAGGTTGTGTAACCCATTGTATCCATCCTCCAGTCATGATAGTTGACAAGAAATCCGTATGTGTTAACGAAAACGGATTTGGTGACCAAGCTGTTTTCGGTAAATTGAAGCCTTCGATTATTATTTTCTGTTTGTAAGGTAGCACTGATGCAACATGTAATGCGGAGCAGATGATGGGAACGTCACAAGTTTTGGCATTCTGCGGGTTGTGAATACATCCAAAAAGTATGTGGTTTGAAGTGCCAATGACAAGTAAGCACAGAGATTCCGGGAAGTTTTCTGGCTCGTGATGATCAAATGGCATTGTTATGAAGGTTCGATGCATATGTATAAAAGATCCGCCCCAGGCTTTGTGCAGCAATCTTTTCGAATTAAGTAAATAAATAACTAAATGTTATTCTCGGCCACGCGACGCACGCCATTAAAGGCATGAACATAGTAATAGTGCAAAAATTGAACAAGGAATTTGCGATGGTATATTAGGATTTTCCTCTATGTGGATCCATAAGTGTAGGTATGTAGGTAAGTATCTTGTGTTTGTAAATGTGTTGCTGATCTTTTGGATAAGTTCGATCTATTCGTCAGTGTCTAAAGGAATGTTTGCCGTTTGTTGGTAGTTGGGTATGGTTTAAGTTGAATCTTACGTATTGGTACAGCACCACGTTTCAGAGACGAGGATTGCACTTATAGTGCCCAAATGTGTAGTCATCTTTAGGAAAAGAAGTTGGTTGTTAATGGATCTCGCATTGATCAAGCGTATGGAAAATGGTATGTGCGTGTCAGGAAGGCTGTTGAGAACAGCTGGTAGGGTTGGGAATTGAGGGGTAAAAACTTGTGGTGTAGAGAGTGAACACAGATGTGAACGGGGCAGATGTAGTCTCTAACACAGTTTAGCACACGAGTTTGTTGTCGTTCAGGATCACTGGTAATACTGGTTGAAAACATTGGGTTGTTGCATGAAGGCTGGGGTGTTCCTGCATTGGTAGGGATTCATTCGTGTCATGTGTACAAACTGCAACAACAGTGAAAATAGATTGTTTGTCTCTATTGGATGTATCAATGATGGGAAGGGTTTTGGTACCACTCCCGCATATAATGAAAACGGATTATAGTTCGTTGGTGAACTGTGAGGGGACATGCAAGTCTGAGGTCTGACAGCATGTACTGTTCCCCGATGTTCAATCATCTACAGGTGGTTAGTTCCATGTTCACGGTTGTAGCAGTCTTTGCCATGGTGGTTGACAACTAGGGCCAGGAGACAAGTTTCTCTGGTTTTGCTTGAACTGGGATGACAAGTATTGTTGTGGTATTAAGTAGGGTATTGGGCACATAATATTAGTAACTGTCCGCTTTATCGTACGTAAATACGCCTTGTGGGTATCAGTCGTGGAAAATTTGGAACAGTGGACGCTTGATGGTGTCATGGTTATACTGTAATTGGGACCGTTTTCTCTAGGCTTTGCTTGGCCGATAGATTCTTGTAAAGCCGATATATCGATAGAAATAGAGTGACTGGGAAGGGTAGTGTCAGGATCAGCAGTTTCTGCACTGACCTTTTGGATGCACAGAGGGTTTTGTGAAAGGAACTGAAGCTGTAGTGTTCGATGTAGCTACCCCGACATAAAAACTATCGAGGTCCACATCAGAAGCCCTGGGTCTTCCACTTAATGTGTTACTATTCAGAGGCTTGGTGAAGGGACATACTATTTCCTGAATATCATCATTCTTTAACGTACAATGCTCAAGAGAAAGAAGAACACGTTACAGTGTTGTAAGATCCTGACTAATCACCAAGTCCTTGAAGTGAGTAAGTTGTGTAATGACTGATTGGCTGCGGAGGAATTGGTCTAAAGCAAGAAGCAGAATCGGTACGCTTTAGAACCAATACGCGAATATAAGGCCAACCTCCGATGA